ACCCACACCCACACCCACACCCACACCCACACCCACACCCACACCCACACCCATATCATTATCACTGTTGGAGTTAAAACTGGGGAGTTATAACCTTTAAACTGAGTCATAATCGTCAACCGTGACTATAGCTTCTGATATAGGTTGTAAATGGTGAATTTCATCAACTACTAAATGCATCGACTACGAATTGGAATAGACCGTACGTGTTTATAGTACAGAAAACTTTATTTTAAATACAAAAGAAATTGTTGTTTACGTAACCAAAGCTAGAACTAGCGATTTTTTTGTTTAACTATCTTGAGGTGAGAGGTGAGGGTGTCATGTGTAGGTCTTTTAGTTACTGAAAAATTCTCTAAACTCGGAATATTTTTACGGGCTTTCTTTTCACATAAGATCCATTGTATATTCTATTAGAAATAAAACTATTTGAAAGATTGTGTATGGCTATATTTCGTTTTAAATAAATTCTTTCTTGTTTATAAATATTCGTTAAAATGAAAATTAAAAGGAAATGAGATTTTTGTTTTCCTATAGGAGTATTAATCCGATCTAAAATAGAAATTCGATAAATAAATAAGAAAAACAAAGTTTAATTTAATAAAAAAACCTTTTCTGGATTTATCCTTGGACATTGCCAATTATAAATATAATAATGAAGATTTCCATCCCCGGCACCAAATTTAAGTTTTCGCAAAAATTTTTCATTTTCCATGGCATGAAGTGCATTGAATACATCACAATCACTCTTGAAAGCAGAAAAATTTAACTTACATATCTTTTTTTTTCATTTACCTTATATGCTTGTACAAGACAATCATTAACAAGATCGGAAAGTGATGTACAAGTTGCAGCATAATAATACAGATAGCATATATTCATCGTTTTAAATTGTGGGTGATTGAGAATTGTTGTTGATAAATGATAATATGAAATAAAATCTGTTATTTCACCATTTTCCTGCTTAAAAAACACAGCATTTTTTTATTTGTATTACAATCTTGTCTTCTGTATATACTTCAACAACAAATGAGCTAACAATATTTGAACGATTTTGACAAAGATATTGAAATTCTTCTTGAGTGAGTACAGGTGATAGGTCAAATCTTTTTAAATACTTTAACAAAAGGAAAGAAAGATTTTCTTGATTAAATATAAAGATTTATCTTATTTACTTGAGTAAGTAGAGTAAATGCTTTCGGTATATCAGATTCGCGCATTTCACGAAAGCCTCTCACGTGTGTTGTCTAAATTTAGTGATATTTTTTCAATTAAATTCAAAAATAGAAACTTACTTCGGGTAATTCATACATTTTTTTCATCATTTCTAATGTCATACGTCTACCCAACTGAGCAAATCCGACAGACAATAATTTTTCGATATTAATTAATCGATGCCAATATCTATTTTTATAAGAAATTGTTTTCATATATTGATCAGACCGAAGTTTTATAAATGAATAATATACATACAAACATTTGCTAACAACTCCGGGTAAGAGAGCGCCAGCTGTATTAACACCTTGAAAAATTCCACTTAAATTAACCCGTCGATATAGTTCTGCGATTAGCATAGGCGTCAAACGTTTCAAACGGAATTTTTTGTGAACACACAAAAAATTTGATTCAATCATTGGCACTTCTCTATGAAGAAGATCACAATCAAACGAATTATTCTTCTCTCTGTACATTTTACTTCTCATAAGCTTTCATTTTAATAGGTGCAGCACTATAAAATCCTGCTAGTTCACGACTTTCTGTATGACGTATAACTACATGCCATTTTGGAGTCCATCCTGGTGAACACAAAGCCCTACAAATAATCACAACAATTAATTTCTTTCTTAAAATTTTCACAGTTTTACCATTGTAAAAATGGCATTGAATAATCAAAACGAAACTTATTATCACTATCTTCTACATAATTTTCATATAGGAATGTATACAATTCTTTTAATTGTTCATCATGGGAAACATTAATTCCACTCCATGAAAACCCATCTGGTAATTCATATGGTTCTTGTTTTAATTGTTCAATATGTTTATTTTCTTCTATAGGTCCATTTTTGCCCTTAGATACTTTTATTCCAAAGGGTGTTACCGGTTGTGTACGCCAAAATTTCCATTCTTGTTTTGATGCTGCTTCTTCATCAAAATCTAATGCAATATCATCAACATTGATATCAGCTATTTGTTCACCTAAAACAAATTGCAATTGATGTGGTTGTTTCTGAAGATTCATTTTTAAATTATATACTTATTGATTTCATTATTGAATCATCATCTAATTTTGTTTCATTAGTGTTATCAAATTGAGTTTGCTCTTGATCGGTCATTGTTAAAAATACTATTAAAAAAAAATTCTCTGTGATCAATTTTTGCGGCAATGAGAGTTGCCCTCTCAGACCTTTGAAAACAAAAAGTACACCCTAAAAACAAGCTGCTCGTTGTAAATTATAGAGCTTTTCATGCTGCATCTTATGGTATATTTGATTTTTGATAAAACGTACTAGATGATAAATAAAATACAATGGACGGGGGCGGGTTAGCCTTAAAATCGGCCCTATTTCAAAACTATGCTGAAAATGACTTCCACATACGGTATTATTCTTCCTCCTAGTGTATCACCATACTCTGAGTGTTTACGTGCAATTTTTCCCTACATGTTATAATCTCTATGCTATCTTGCTCTCTGAATCTAGCGACAATTCAA